ACAGAGAACATTAAAATAGAATAACTGTATTCCATATGCTCAAAAAGTTATCTAGACTTAGAAGATAGAAAAAAAAACAATACCCAAACTGAACTAGAGATGAAAAGTACATTGTGTAGAATGAAAAAATAGTGTGGAGGGTTAACAGCAGGTAAGGTACAAAAGAAAAGAGAACAAACTAGTAAACTTGAAAAAAACAAAACACTGAGAAAAAGGCAGCATGGTTTTTTGTTTTGTTTTGTTTTTTCCTGTCCCTTGCTCATGCTTTCGCTATTTTGCACTTTTGGACATTCGTACTTGCTATTACATCTGACTAGGATCACACGAATTGCCCCCTCACTTGCCTCAGGTCTTTGTCCAAGTCTTGTCAGAGATGCCCATCTTGACCACCTATCCCTCTTATCCTGCTTTATTTTTATTTTTCCTCAGCACCACCTGATAGATGTCCTTATTAATCTATCTCCCCCAAGATAAGATTCCCTGGATAGTCATGGGCAGGGATTTTTGTTTTGCTTATTGTTGTAACCCCAGTGTCTAGAAATTTTGCCTGGTCTGTAGCAGATGCTCAAAATATGTATTCAAAGAATAAATTGTGTGAACATGATTGTGAAAGAACACAATTATATTTCTGGTATAAATACCTGAATAGATGACTGATGACAGTGGAGGATGGAATATGAGATGCCTATGGAACACCCAAGTGGAAATAATGGACACTCATTCGTCCAACAAGTATTTACTTAGCACCTAACATGCTAGGCACTTTAAGTATGAGTGGGGACAAAACCCAAAAGGCAATCTGGAACCCTACCTTCAAGGAGCTTACTTTCTAGAAAGGGAGACAATAAGAGTAATAAGTAAGCGAAATATATAATAGATTAGAAAGTAGTCATGCTATCGGGGAAAAGGAGGAGGGGAATTAAGAGTCAGGAAAAATGTAGAGTGAGTTGCAATTTTAAATAAGGTGGTTAAAGTAGACTCTTGAGAAGTTACATGGGTCTGATGAGCAGAGAAGAGGTGTTTATCTGTTTAGCTGGCAAGCTGGCAATAATCTTCCCCAAAGTTTTTGGGATCAACTGAGATATGTAAAAGATCTGGCAATTAAAAAATTTTAAACTACGTCCCTACCCTATACTGCTGTGAGGCTTCAATTAGTCTGAAACATACAAGTTTTAAAGATAAGCAGAATAAATTTGTGAGTAGGTTTTCTTTTTTTTTTTTTTTGTTTGGTTTTAATCTGTACAGCTCTAT